AAAAAGAAAAAAATGGACAGAAAATGTTGGGACAGCCAGATATGAAGAACTACATTGGGTATTTATAGTTTATTTAAAGAGCACGATTATTTGACACCTTCTGACATAGAACTGGGAAGAAATTTCTATTAGTGATGACACTCTGTTGTAGATAGTTTTATAGATGTCCAACGAGAGGGTGATATAAATAAAGTTACCCATATTGCTGATGTGGCATCTGCCACCAGCGTATGAAAGATGACAGTGCGCCGCCCCCCCCCCCGCCCACTACTTTACTTTGGAGGTCAGTAGTAGTGGCCTCCAGAGAGCTCAGTCCATGTGGCCAGTGGTGTGGCCTCAACTAGAATAAACAAAAAGCCCACTTCTGTTTCATATAGAAAATCAGCAGCTGAGCTGGGCTTTATTTATGGCATAGTTGTTTTTTTTTTTTTCATTATGCACAATAATTTCTGGCCTACTCATGTATAATAGAACATCTGTAATGAAAGCTATTTTTAATTCAAATCATATCAAAATTCATAATACAGTTGTGTGAATGTGTGTGAGCGAGTGAGAGTGTGTGACCTTTAAAGTCCACTAGAAAAATCTGTGATGGATTGGTTTTTAAAGGCTAAATAGTCGGTATTAAGCAGACCTGGAACAGGCAAGTAAATATTTTAAGAAAACTATAACTCAGGAACAGTTTAAAAAAAATTAGTTCCCCACTTAGATTTTAAGATGTGGAGAGGGCTGAGTTGTCCTGTTGAAGTGCTGTCAAAAATGTACCGGGGTCTGTGGCATTTAGTGGCAAGTTACCAGATGCCCATGGTAGTGTAGACTGTGCTTTCCCGAGGTAGATGGATTCTGTCTTTCTCAACAGCCCACCTCGGAATGGTATCATGGTTATTTTTAGGTAGAACAGCAACCTCTGATTGCCCCAGGGGTAGCTCCCCAGAATCTCGTTAAATGCTCCTCGTTTGTTTCTCATTTTGCTCATCTCTGAGCTCTTTGCCTGCCTCTATTTCCATGTTTTTTTTTCTGGGGCCAGTTTCATCTCTGGCCTCCTGACTGGCCCGTAGTACTTATTTTCTATCATCAACTTTGTGGTCTTGGACACTTTAAGGATTTCAGATTCAAAGAAACTTCATAAAGCATCTTGAAAGGCTATCTCTTTCATTTTGGTTATTTCAGTATTTTAATTGCAGCGTGGGATTCAGTCGGTTTCAAATATGATACAAAGTGGAATGCCAGCATTTGCACCAAATTCCAGACCTTCTGGCGTTTCTGTTTCAGATAATTCAGTCAAATGAAAATGGATTTATTGCTGTCTGCCTAACAAGAAACCCTAAGAAAATACAGCAACACCGATTGAGTGAAATGAATCCAGGTGCAGTAAGTTGAGGACAGTCAGGATTCTGGTTGTGTGTGCTTGGCCCCTGCCTCACAGGAAATCACTTGTGCCATGTAAGCAAGGGACAAGGAGCAGAGCCCAAGGCCAGTGGCCTGGAGACCTGGTGCTGCCCCAACTGGCTGTGGGCCCCGGGCAGGTACCTCACCATCCTTATGCGCACAGTGGTATGCTAACACTTGCCCTCGCCTTCCAAACTGCTCTGAGGCCCTGGTGACATCTGACAGGGTGAGCCTTACAGAGTGGAAGGTGGGTGCCAGGGGCTGGCGCAGTAGAGACTGTTTCCTGCCTTCTCTCATCTGATGTTTTCTTCAGTTTGGGAACAAATGAGATTGGCAGGAGGGAGCTCACGGTGCAGTAACCCTCTACTATGCTGTACCCACTGCTGTTGCCTTCTAGTGTTTCCTCCAGTCCCTTACAGTCCTGCTCCATGACACAAGTCCCCAGCTCTGGTGGAAAGCCCCATGCTAAGCTGCCTTACCAATCCTGTCCTCGTAGGGCTGAGTAGCCTAAAGTACTGATTCCAGACACACATCAAAAATGACTTGTTTTCGATGATGTTGCAAAGCAAAGGCCTATTTGGGGGTGGGGTGGGTGGGAGGATAATCGGGAATTTGTGTTGAAATCTGAACAAAGATAGCATGTGTATTTTGAACAAAAACATTTTATAGTAAAACTTTGCAAAATCAATACAGTAAAATCTGTACTTCACATTCTAGGCTATAAACTTACTTGATTTCCTGGTGTAGAAAAAGGAACGTAGCCCTTTTGATGCCTAAACACATTGTAAGAAAGTGCTCTGGCTGCTGTTTCCCTGCCTCACAAAACAAAGGGCTATTTCTACAAGGCCAAGTTTTGTATCTGTGCTATTCTTTATTTCAGGCTGACAGTTGGGAAAAACTGGAGCAAACACTGAGTTTCTTGCGTACAGTTGTGTTCATGTGTGTCTCTTAGTATACACAAAGCAGGTTTCCGTGGAATAAAAGTGAACTGTATTGCGTAGTGTTACACATGTGTGTGGATGAGGTTATTTGTGATGGAGCACTGGAATACTGTGTGGGTTGTTAGGAATCAGCCCATTAGGAATCCGCTGTGAGGCATGGTGGTAGCATCGTGAAATCCTCACTGTCTGTAGGTGTCTGTGGAAGATGGCACTTTCTTCCTGTAAATATCTTTTGCTGTCCATTTGTACAACCCCAATGAATGTCTCTTTGGAAAATGTATCAAAGTTTTAATTTTGGCAGTTGATCTAAACGCCCAAATAATGAATCAGTAATCCTATTTGGTTTAGATTTGTAATTTTCTTTTAAAAGAAAAAGAAGCACAGAAAAATGGTGATTGGAAAAATTCATGTTTTAGTGACACTTACATCAGTGTTTTGGAACTGAGTAGCTTCCTGAACCTACAAGAGAATGTGCCTGCTGTTTCCCCAATGCTCATTTTGGAGTCTCTGAGTCTTTTATTCCCTTTAACTAAAGTCCCCAGCAAGAGCCCCTGGATCTGCAGCCCGATTCTGCTCCTAGGTTGGTAGGGCTCAGTTATTTTACTTTTCTGAGCCCTTTTCTTCAAAAGGAATGCATCAGATGAGCTCAGATACCCTAACATTTTATCCTATTTTCATTTTCCTGTGGTTGCTACCAGAAGCAGACATATGAGCTGTGGGGATCGTTTAAAGGTTAGATGCCAGGTTTTTATATTGTTACAGCTTATACGGCCCAGTGCAGGAACTATCATTTTTCATGTCCCCATCTCATTTCTATTCCTTGCCCCATTTATCTTTGCTTCAATAATAACCTCCTTCTTCTTCACTCTTGAAAGTTACAGTTTTGCAGTTTATGAAGTAGTTTGCTGCTATTTCCCTCAGAGACAAAAATCCACTTCAAACACTTTCTTGAAGAAGTTCAGCTGAATCTGTAAAATCTGTTGAACATTTGAAAAGTCCGACTTACTCACAGAGAGCTGGGGTCCCTGATCAGCGCTTGCAGCTGGCCTCTGTCAGCAAGGCTGTCTCTGTCATCAATCACAGAGACATCTCTGTTGCTAAGTCGCACCATCAGTCTGAGCAGTGTGTGGAGAGCCTGAAGGGGTGGGGGCAGGCCAGAGGATGGGATTCGATGGGATTCTGCCCTTTAAACAGAAAATCCTACGTGTCTGACAAAGATTCTGTTCTCATAAACTGGTGTGTAAGATTGCATATACTGTGTCATGGAGATTTCTTACTCAACAAATTGTCCTAAAAGAGTTCGCATTGGATTCTGTAGCCCTCTGCCAGTCAGTGTGATCATCGGTAACCACCGGTGGCAAAGCGACCGCTTGGGTTGTGGCCTTTCCAAACTGAGACTGTGCTGCCACATAAACTGCACCCCAGATCTTGAACATACATACCAGGACATGCGTGTCAGAAAAAGTATACCCATTTCATCAATAATTTAGATTGATTGCAATCTAAAATATAATATATTGGCTGCCTTGACTAAGTAGAATGATAGCTTTATAAATATTAAAAGAAACATTATCATATGTGATCTGTTTTTAATTTGCTACTGCCAAAATTTAAAATCAGATGTGTGGCTGTTGTCGTACTTGTATTAGGCAGGGCCAGTGCAGCGCTGGCCTCTGTGTGAGGCAGGCAGAGAAATACTTTGTGTGGGAAGATGATTTCTGCAAAGCATTTGAATAGATGGAAGCACAACAGATGTTTTTGCTGGAGTCAGATGTACTGGGAGACACATAGTACCTCCTCTAGAGCGTTCTGCCTAAAATCATATATATTGTATGAAGCTCCCCAATTAATAAACAAAAGCAGATGGGCCCAAACTGCCTTTTTCCACTTTGCCTAGGAGCTGCGGCTGCCTTTTTTTTTTTTTCCCCCATAATTTTATTGAGAAACAAATAGCAATGAGGCAGTTTCAAACCACATTGGTAGGACAGTTTCAATAATTCACACATTGCATACATTCTTCCTAGTGGTTATTTGCTGTACAAGATGCAGACATGATACCTATTTACAAACACTATTAGAACAAATCCCTCTATTCATTAAGAAAATGTAACTATATATCTATCCTAACCATTTTGAATACACAGATACAAAATGGATATTCATCTGTATCCCCTTTTTTGTTTAGTTCCGTTATTTGAATATTATAGGTGTATGAACTCAGCAAAATATTCTAAAAGAGTCCAGTAGTCCATAATAGTATTGGTCTTCTGCTTCACTGGCAATATCAGAAATTGTTGACCTGAGTCCCCTACAGCTCAACATAACAGCATGGCTTTACTTCTTATATTTCATTTTTATGCTTTGTACTTAGTTTTCTAGCATCTTCCAGGTACGTTAGCCACACGAGGGTGATGGGCATATTGGCCTCATGGCAGGCAACATTCTCTTGCAGGTCCCCCCACCCCCACCCCAGGTATTGTTTCGTCTGTTCAAAGCCCAGTGTGTTAAGTGCTGTGCAGATCTTGCTGTTCTTCATGTTCTCTGCCTCGGCAGCGACTGGGCCTG